TACCTCTGTATTTCTCCCTTTGAAAGTACAATGGGAGAGATGGGCTGATCATTGATGATGCGTGCACACTGTGCAGAAAGTTGGATTCTACCTGACCACTGAAAAAGTGTACGGTCGAAGCGTCTTGAGTCTTGACCCTTGATCGCTCAGTCGGGGTACCCTAAAAGCCCTAGATTTATGCCGTACCGTACCGTGCCGTGCCGTGCCGTGCCGTACTTGCAACTTTCAATACGGTATACGGTAGGACTAGATACCTACCCAGGTGGCTGAGTGCTCATTTGTACCTACCTAGGTACCTACTACCGTTCAAGGTACAGTGTTCACAACTTTCAATACAAGATTCTGTCTGATATCATGGCTACACCCAGCGCTACCGTCAGCCAAGCGCGTGTTGTTCTTTCGGGGCGACCGTAAAGCAGAGGCAGAGGCGCTTCCGTCGCTGTGAAACCCCCGAGCCGTTCTAACGCATGTCGCCGACTCGTACGGGCACTCGTCAGCGATAAAAGCAGAGTCCTACCCCCAGAAGAGCTTGACGACAGTTGATACAGCTAGCTCGACCATTTTGACCTTTGAGGGACTCACTTGAATCCGTCAAAGCCGGACCCCCCGGAAAATGGCTCAGTAGCAGGGGGCTTGCAAAAATTGGGCACAACAATGACCACCTGCAAATACAACTTGAATCTCGGCGACCTGGAAACAACCGCGCTGTTTGTTGCGTACGATGTACGAAAACCGTACGTACGGCGTAGAGTTTTCAGAACTCTGCGCAGTGCCAACCAGTGTTTCCGCTAACTTTTTCAATTGGTGGCCCTCGGGCCCCCTGGGCCCGGTCTTCGGGGGCCCGATGGGCCCCCTCAGCATCCACATCGGGGGCCCAAGGGCCCCCTCGAGACTCTGATTGGGGGCCCAAAATTGGCTTGAAATGGCCCCCTGTTAGATTGCATAGAACGTCCTGACGCAATACTATACGAAATGGGGGGAGCTGAATGCCCATTCTGCTTACAGTTACCCCCCGGTAGATGAAATTGGGGATGTTGAACACGTTTCTGCTCGATTTTAACAAGGAATATTGTGTAAAAGCTCAAAAATGCCTGTATAAGCTTGAACTAATACGTAAGCTTGGGCCCCCTCACACCGATGTGTGGGGGCAAAAGGGCCTCCAAACAATGCTCTTTGGGGGCCCGTCGGGCCCCCTCGCTTCGAGCATTGGGGGCCCGTTGGGCCCCCAAGGCCCTCCTATTGGGGGACGATATCGGCCATTGGGGGCGATAATGGCTGGTGGCGGGCCCCCATTGGAAACACTGGTGCCAACGTTCTTTGTACCGCCGCTGCCGTGGCCGGGGAGGCTGATGAGCCGCACGGATCTCGGTTGCACGCAGAATGTGCACACTCGAATTAACGTATCGACGTGGTACAAACCGCACGCACCGAGTCGCCTGGTAGGGGTTTCGCATCGATCGCCCGGTATTGAAACTGTTTTGAATAGATTTACCTGTGACCGAGCATGCCCTGCTTTATACATTTGGCTCTCAAGCGGGTTTCGTGGTGCGGGACCCGGGTGTGCCGCGAAGGGCAGTACGTACCTGCAATATTACCTAATACCGTACCTGGTAGCGCCAGTACACACCCGGTACATTATAGGCGCTGCACAGTGCGCAGTGACGGCCGGCGGCCGCCTGCCTGCCGCTCCGAGTCCCGATCCGATCCTTTCCGGCAAGATTCAAATAGGTATACGACTTGAAAAGTACCGGTAACAACTAGTATGTGCTGCGCATCGCGAGGCCGTTCAAGCCAAGCTCACTGAAGAATCTGAGTCGTCCATTCCTGCTCGGTCGGGGCTCCTTCCCTACCAAAGTCTCAGGGCGTCCTCTTCAGGGTCAATTGTGCACGGGGAGACTTCGGCCGCCTGGGAGTTGCTCGGTACTAAATAGGGTTCAAGCCATATTAATAGGGTTTACAATTTGCTCAATTCGGCTTCAACTGCACGCTCGGCGGCGCTGTCGGTTCGGGCGGGCCGCCGCCGCCGCAGACGGACTGACTCAAAACGCCATGGCTTCTCATCTCATTCGTCAATCATTGGTTCAATATAATCGACCTTCGAAAAATCAAGTCAGAGATTGAACATCTGAACCCCTATGAAAATTTACAAATCAGGTGGCTCTATCCTGAGTGGCACCTCAGAAACTAAGTCAGTCCCAATACAAAGCAACTAGGCTGGACGGAGTTGACTTCGACTTATAGACTGATCAAATCATTCCTCAATTCGATGAACTCACAAAACAGTGTCACTGTCAGAACGAGTTCAAAAACGAGTCCCGCTGCCAAGGTCACCTGGCAAGCGGCAATCTAGATGCTGTCATCACAAACCCTGTCATCCTAGACAGGCTTAAACGAGGCCCAATGTTTCGCGAAGCCACCAACGGGGATTCAAAACTAGCCAGACAATCCCTAGAGTGGCAAGCCCTTCAGGAATTAATAGAACGTCACAAAAATCCTCACGCCTACCGTTGGGCTAGGAAATTCCTTCAGCACTTTGACAGCCACGTGGCAGAAATGAATCGGAAAGATACAGCCGGGGAAATCAACCTCAGCAAACTCCTATTTCCTGCACCTGGCAACATCTCTGATCACCAGGTAGAGCTCGATTCATTTCTCGAAAAATATGTTATACTTCCCGCCGATAAATGCAGAGGCAATTACTTTGTCATCTGCAAAAATCTCTACATCAAACAATGTGTAACTGAAACGTTC